AGCCCCCACAATACTTCGTAGGTAGCGGGGCGAGGAGGGGAGGGGAGGAGGAGGAGGAGGAGGAGGAGGAGGAGCAGGAGGCGGAGGAGGAGGATGGGAGGAGGAGGAGGGGAGGAGAGGGAGGAGGAGTGAGGAGGAGGAGGAGGAGTGGGGGGGGGAAGGAAAGCTCTGCACGCCGCATGGAGCCCGTTCCTTCATGTTCCTTCCCGCCCTTCTCCGACGAGCACGTGCTGATTGATCATCGGAAAAGGCCGCCGCCTCCTCTTCCTCCTCCTCCTCCTCCTACCTCCTCCTCCTCCTCCTTCCTCCTGTACTCCAGCCTCCCCCCTAGAGACACTTTTTTGAATCGGCGACCTCCTCCTCCCTCCTCCTCCTCCTCCTCCGCCTCCTCCTCCTCCCCTCCTCTTCCTCCTCCTCCTCCTCCTACTCCTCCTCCTCCTCCTCCTCCTCCTCCTCCTCCTCCTCCTCCCCCCTCCCTTTCCTCCCCCTCCTCGTCCTCCTCCTTCCTCCTCTTTCCGCGCGCCCCCCCCGCGGCCCTCCTCCTCCTCCTCCGCCTTCAAGCCCTCCCCCCACCTTCCTCATTCTCATCCGCTGTTCGGGCATGGGCCTAGCAGCGGTTGCTCCTGGGAGGGCGGGCACCGGCTCCCAGCCAAGCTTCGCGTGGACGGATCCTACCTCCTGGGGTCCTCCTCCTCTCCCTCACACTCGCCCCCGCCTTCCTCATCCTCGCCCTCCCCCTCCCACTCCTCCTCCTCCACCCTCCTGCTCCACCTCCACTCCCTCTCCTTCCCCACTTCGCCTCCTCGTTCTCCCCCCTCCCCGCCCACTCCTCGTCCCCCTCCTCCTGCACCTTGAGGGTTCTAAGGGTCACACGGATAGAGCACTGCTGGGTTTCAGCATGGGGGCTCTCGCCGTGGCACCGCGCACGTTCGTCTCACAAGCCTGCAACAAATGCACGGATGGAGATTTGTTTTTTGTCCACCCGCGAATCCGCCGGCCCTGTCGACATGTGCGAGGGGCTTTTCCGTTCGAGTCGGGCTTTTCTGTTGGAGTCGTCGTCTCCGTTCTCCTCCGTTCCATTTGCCTGGGCCCTCTTCCTCATACGCGCCGTCCAAAGCAAAATTGAACAACCTCGGAGTGGAATCGAAGGGAAACCCCTTCCCTTTGATCCCTTCCCCGCGCCGGGGGAGGGGTGTCCTGTCCCGGGATCGTCCTGGGGGGGGGTCATCATGGGGGGGTCCTGGGGGGGTGTTCGGGGGGTCCTGGGGGGGGGGGTCGCCACCCAGGTACGTTTTACCCCCGCGCCCCGGCCCGCTCCGTCCCCAGCCCCGCACGGCCCAGCCCAGGGGGCCACAGCCCGGGTCCTGGCCTCGAGGCGCCCCGGCCCCGGCCCTGGCCCCGGGCCGTGGCCCCAGCCTCGGCCTCGGCCGTGGCCCCAGCGCTGGCCCTGGCCCCAGCCGCGGCCCCAGCCCAAGCCCCAACAGAGCCCAAGATGCTCCCAAGAGAGCCCCAAGAAAGGCTCCAGAGCGTCAGCGTCGTCGTCGTCGCCGCTGCCGCCGCCGCCGCCGCCCCCGCCGCCGTCGTCGTCGCCGTGCCCCTTCTGGGTCGGCGGCACCGGCCGCTAGGCCTTCCCAATATATCCCTCAACTCCTGCTCAGTCCTGCTCCTGCAACAGGTACGCTGATGGATGGAACCTCACTCTCAAAATGAGGTTCCCGCAAAAGGTCTCCTCTGCTTGTGTGGCAGGACGTTCAAATCCCATCAGCCCTCTAGGCGTAGGTGGTCCAGGGCGGTTTCTCTTCCAACCCCTGTCTTCCCCTTCGGGGAGGCGGTTATCACCGTTCCCTAAATATGCTCCCCCTCTCCCACCCGGCCGGCAGCCAACCCGGAACCAGATCAAACCCCATGAGGGCCCCCCCCCCCACCATCCCCGTCAAAGAAACAATATACAAAACGCACTCTGCCTCCACATTTGGAGCATGCGCGGCCGCCCCGCGGCCATTTTGTAGTGGTATTTTACAAGGAAAGCTGGGGCGCCAGCAGATCCCACCTACCTTCTGGGCGCAGGTGGTCGACCGACTGGTTTGACGCATCAGTGGCTGCTGCCTTTTCGCCTTATCGTTTCCGATTGGCTTTCGAACCCCACAATGGCTCAATTTTTTACCAAGAAAGCTCAAAGCCGGTCCCAAGAGGCTTCCAAACCCGTGGCGTCTGCGGCGTTCTTCCGCGGTATGCTGACATCCGGGTGTTACTTATGTGTTGAGAGGGCGAGTGGGAATGAGCAAGACGGCTTGCGGGCGGGTGGATAGCTCGACCCCTCCCCCTACCCCCTCCCCTGGACCTGGACAGGGCGCCCCGCGAGATGTCAGAGGGTACATTTTTGGGCCCAAGAGGCGATGTTTGGGGCTCCCGAGGGGGGTCGCAATTAGAGCTCCCATCTTTTTTGATCGATCTCCTCCAAGATGGCCCCAAGAGCGCCCCCAAGGCTCCCAAGAGCGCC